GCAGAAAATGAAAACAAAGTTAAAGTCTTAGATTTGATTCTCTGAAACCCTGAAACCTTTCTGTTTGTATTTTCTGCTAAAAACAAAAAATGTTAAACACAAAAATTCCCAAACCATTTTTGGTGAAAAAAATGGTTTGATGAAAATTTTCTTCCAGTTCTGTTTTTGAGTGACAGCTGCCAGACAGTTGAACCAAAACAAAAATGAATGAAAACAAAGTTAAAGTCTTAGATTTGATTCTCTGAAACCCTGAAACCTTTCTGTTTGTATTTTCTGCTAAAAACAAAAAATGTTAAACACAAAAATTCCCAAACCATTTTTGGTGAAAAAAATGGTTTGATGAAAATTTTCTTCCAGTTCTGTTTTTGAGTGACAGCTGCCAGACAGTTGAACCAAAACAAAAATGATTTAGTATAGTGTCATAATGAAAGTTTTTTTTTCCCTTCTGGCACAATGTTTTTGCACAGACATCTTCTTTATTATACAGGCAGTCCCCGGGTTACGTAGAAGATAGGGACTGTAAGTTTGTTCTTAAGTTGAATCTGTATGTAAGTCGGAACTGGCGTCCAGATTCAGCCGCTGCTGAAACTGATCAGCAGCGGCTGAATCAGGATGCCTGGGGCAGAGCAGCTGGGGCGCTGCCGGTTGGTCCCGCAGCGCCGCTCTGGGCGCTACTGGACCAACCCAGCAGCACCCCAGCTGCTCTGCCCCAGGCGTCCCCAAGTCAGCTGCTGCTGAAACTGACCGCCAGTTCCAACTTACATACAGAATCAACTTAAGAACCCCAAGCGTCCCCAAGTCAGCTGCTGCTGAAACTGACCGCCAGTTCCAACTTACATACAGAATCAACTTAAGAACCCCAAGCGTCCCCAAGTCAGCTGCTGCTGAAACTGACCGCCAGTTCCAACTTACATACAGAATCAACTTAAGAACCCCAAGCGTCCCCAAGTCAGCTGCTGCTGAAACTGACCGCCAGTTCCAACTTACATACAGAATCAACTTAAGAACCCCAAGCGTCCCCAAGTCAGCTGCTGCTGAAACTGACCGCCAGTTCCAACTTACATACAGAATCAACTTAAGAACCCCAAGCGTCCCCAAGTCAGCTGCTGCTGAAACTGACCGCCAGTTCCAACTTACATACAGAATCAACTTAAGAACCCCAAGCGTCCCCAAGTCAGCTGCTGCTGAAACTGACCGCCAGTTCCAACTTACATACAGAATCAACTTAAGAACCCCAAGCGTCCCCAAGTCAGCTGCTGCTGAAACTGACCGCCAGTTCCAACTTACATACAGAATCAACTTAAGAACCCCAAGCGTCCCCAAGTCAGCTGCTGCTGAAACTGACCGCCAGTTCCAACTTACATACAGAATCAACTTAAGAACCCCAAGCGTCCCCAAGTCAGCTGCTGCTGAAACTGACCGCCAGTTCCAACTTACATACAGAATCAACTTAAGAACCCCAAGCGTCCCCAAGTCAGCTGCTGCTGAAACTGATCAGCAGCGGCTGAATCTGGACGCCAGTTCCGACTTACATACAGATTCAACTTAAGAACAAACTTACAGTCCCTATCTTCTACGTAACCCGGGGACTGCCTGTAGTGGCAGTCTTAAGAATACTAAAGGATTTATGCCTGAGTCTCACCATGGGGTTTCAAATCAGCCACATAGACTGCAGTGGAAAGGGTTCATCTCTCTGTGGAGAGGAGAATCATGCCCAGGACTTGCAAAAATCTGTGACACTTGAAATTCTAACTTACAGTATTTTTCTGGTGAGATTTTCAACTAAGCATCAAATGTCTTCCAACATCTGGTGATTTGACTGAGTCTCAATAATAATGTCTTATTCAGTACATATAACACTATAACACAATATGACCTTCCCATGCTTGCTAAGCTTTTCAATTATAAACTTTTTTTGGGGGGGGCATAATGACCTATAGTACATCTGTGGCACATCACAGCTGGCTCAGGGTTGGAACACAGCACAGGTAGGTAATAAAGCAACAGGCTGACCTCTCCAAAATGATAAGAAAAAATAGCAATTTCCCAGACTACACATTTAACACTCAATCAAATTTCAACACACATAGCAATCAAACTCTTTTTTGCTTTTCAAGAAAAGCCGCACAATTAGTATTATGTTTTTTAAAATAAAGGTAACCATACACACTGATTATTAGACTATCAAAAGGAAAAGAGTCTTTAACATCTTACCATTTTCACTGAAAAACCAGCATATTTTTTCATCTAGTCATATTTTCCTTTTACATTTGCTCCTTTATATGTTTTTTTAAAAATTATGTTTATAGTCATGGTTCAGGGACGTTAGAAAAAATACAATTAAAATAATCATATATTTTATCTAGTAACATTAAAT